ACAGTAGTAACTACTGAAAACAGAATCTGCAAATTGGGTGATTTCACTTTCATTGTCACTGTTAATAATTGACTTTTAAAATAGAGCAATGATTTCATGCAACCGTTGTATAGTAATATAATACAACAACTTTAAAACATCATCTTATGCCCATTTGTTTGATCCAAAATTTGAAATATACACTCTTTTCATTCTAATGAACAATCACAAAAAAAAAAAAAAATTGAATACACTACCTAAAAAGTATTTTTTTGGCCCAATTAACATAGGCTGTTCATTTTGGTGAGACGCTTAGATCTAGACCTTAGAATGATTTTTTCATTTCCAATTTTTTTTGGATGGCTTTATTTTCATTAGATGAACCATGCTAAAAAAAGAAAACAAAATGATTTTGAGTTTATAAAGGCTAAGATCTTGAAATTCACAAAATGAATGGTCTAGATTAGTTTTTGGAAGGGACTCATTTTGACCATATCTAGGGTTCAAATTGAACTTTTTTTTGGAGAGGGATTGATTATTTAGATGAAGAGAGTGTGTGTGCAAAATTTGAAGTCATGCAAATACCACAAACATGGATTTCTAGAAGTGTTGTTGCATTATATTATGATCCAACCATTGCATTGGATCGTTGCTCTTTAAAATAACAATAACCAAATATCTAATTTTCCAGAGCCAGGTTAAAGTCAAAGCATAAATTTAGGACTTAAACATGGTTTTGAGACACTCATTATGCAGGCAGTCTTTTTTTTCCCCAATAATTAAATAAGAATCCTAGGCATAGCGAGAGAGATTGAGACAGTTAAAATACCTGAAAGGGTCCTTCCTCGTGTAAAAAAGCAAGACCCTGAGCAGCACAGAGAGCCACACGCATCCTAGTGCACCAATCTATTGGAGGCCCATCGGACCTTCCATAAAGCAATCGATCCAAGCTTCCATGGAAAAGCCTCTCGTACACTAGCATCCTCTGTTCAGACCCTTCCTTCGCATAAAACCCAATCAGTTTACACAGCTGAGGATGTTGCAGAGATGCAATTTTCACCATCTCGCTTGCGAATTCCTTTAAACCCTGTTATTTCGAAGTCATTAAGGAGTAAGAATTCACCTAGTTCAACCCACGTGAAAAAAGGGGGAAAAAAAGGAAACATGACAAATATATCCAAATTTTTTAATGTAAAGGAAAAATATACATTTTCCTAAACATTAGGATCCTCTGTCCATTTTCTGATTTCCAGCTTTTTTTTTTTGGTGGGGAGGAGGAGGGGGGAGGGCGGAAGATAAGGTCAGCTGGGTTTGAAGAAAAAAGCTCATAGAACACTATATTTCAAGACTAGTTGAAAGGCTACCTGTGTAGAGGGAAGCAAGCGAGTGACGGTGGCTTCAAGCATTGGAGAACCTGTAAACTCATCCTTGAATGAAGCTCTATAAACAGTTGAAGATAACCCTTCCGATACACAACGCTCGGGTGAGAAATGATGGCAAGCAGCTGCAATCTCCTCATACGAAAAACTCCTCAAGTTCCCCAATGGTGGAAGAGGCAACGGCCCAGAAACTGAAATGGGTCCACTCGAATTCAAGGATTTGAAGCTCCCTGTGTACTTAAATACAGAGGACGAACCTCTTTGTAGAGAAGGAAGAGGAAGGGGATGTGGGTTCAACAATTTCTGGTCCTTTCCAGCTCCTCTAAGCTTATTATCATCTTCTTGTTCCTTGAAATCCATAGCAGAGAGCGCATCTCTCTCTGCAATGCTCAAACTTGAAGGGGCAGAGAGCGTTCTTGTTCTACTATAACTTGGTCGGCTAACTTGTTGCATGACTGGTTTACCCCGATTTCTAAAGCTTGGAGGAGCAGATTGAAGTGATCTTGTTTGGGTTTGTGGTTCAGGAAGAGTTGTTGGCGTGTTCTCATAGACATAATTTATGGACTTACTGCAAAGGGATTGTTCGGACTTCTTCTTCTTGTTTCTTGAGACTGTAAAGCATCCCATCTTTCAGCTAGGTTTGGGATTTCTTTCTCCAAGAATGCTCGAATTTGGTTGGTAGTGTGTAGATCTTCCGAGGTTCCCTATGAAAAGAGAATGGAGCAAAGCAGGATATCAGTTATCTGAAGGCAACTAAAAGATTTGGAATATTAGACCAGGAATTCCGCATTTTGTACATAATCATCAATTATTTCATAACATCACAAAAATGATCAAGACTGTATTTAACTAATTTAGGAAATTTCAATATTCTATCTAGATAGACTGAAATAAATAAAAAAAGATAAAATATGGTCCAGGGGTCAATATGAAAAGGGTAAGAAGTCAAGAATAATACAAATCCTTTATGACCCGTAAGCAAAAAAGAAAACACAAAATTAGACCCTGAAAGGATTATGAATGCGTATTAGCCCATTCTAAAGCGCATTGATGAATAAACCAACCACGATCTGAATGGCAACAAAAATAACAGTATATTTTCCTTATAGAGCTGAGAATTCTCTCATAACATCCACAAGAAGGCCCTCAATAAAGAATTAGAAAATTACTTAAATCACCAACACTTTTAATTTAGCATAGATTCATTAATTAAAGCTTCAATTCACACACACACACACACACACACACAACAAAAATCAATGAAATATTCACAATTAACTCAGAAAGTCGCTTAAAAGCCTGATACTCTTCATTACAAATTACATGAAGTGATCATTCAAGGAGCAGTGATAATTCAAAAGCCATTAACTTTATAAAATGTGATTGCTCAAAACAGTGTTTGCACTTCCATTTATCATCTCAAATATAATAGAAAATAACTTGAAACTAAATATTTGAGAAATTCCGAGAAACAACACGGAAAAATCTTTGTTAACTTTAAAATACCATGGATTCCATAAATTCATCAGCAATCTTCAGGAATTGACCCCAAACGTACGTAATTACTCAAAAACACATATAAAATCTTCAGATTGACTTATACTCATAAAGAAATCATAAATACAATTCAATCAATGTGCTAAAAATAAGAAATTCTCTCAAATTTCAAGGTACCCAAACTAAATTCCTTAAGATTTCCAATAAATATACCTACGCACCAAAGGTCAAAAAAAAAAAAGCCTTTAAAGCACCGGATCATTAAGAATAAAAGATTCCATATTTAGAGAATCGGAGCAAAATATGCATCATAATTCATTGAATACACATAAATTATGAACAATAACGAATATTCAGGTAAGAATAACTAAGAATTGACAGAATCCACATCAATTCCTCAGTCAAAACCCGGAATTCCACCTGTGAACAAACATTTACAAACCAAAAAAGATCAATATACCAGAAAAATCTTTCAAACCCAGAAAGTTCTAACTTTTGTGATTCAGAGGCAAAAGTCACCTATTTTCAAAGTACAAATCACCTAAAACTTCCATAAATTAGCCAATATCCATGAATATCCAACAAAACCCTAAAGTTCCAACTGCATGCAAATCCCAAACCCCAGAGATAACAAACTCAACGATCCTCAGAATCCACCCAAATCCCCTCATAAAACCCCCAAATCCACACCAAAACCCACCAAAACAACCTCAGAAAACTCAGTAAACCAGCTTAACTGATCCAAACCCTGTAAAACCCTTATTACCTCAAATCGATCGCCAAAAGCTCCACAGATCGCCGTTTCGAAAGCTTAAAGCCTCAGCTTCCAGTAAAAGGAAAGAAGAACTAGAAGACGTACTCTTTCTGATCTCTGAAAGCTTCACGGAAAATGCTTGGGGTCAAATGCAATAGAAAAAGACTCAGATTGAGGTAGCTTTTAGGGCAAATGTATAGTAGAGAGAGAGAGAGAGAGAGAGTGCGGAAACACCACAGTCAAAGCTCTTCCGAAAACGATCAGACTGCGATTAAAGGTGAGGTTCTCGCCATTTATAGCTTTGGAAAAACTGACGTAAATACCCCGCAGGTTTGTGTGAAGTAACGGAAATGCCCCTCAATCTTCTTGGGACTCGCGGGAATGAGAGCTCGTGACTCTAGGAAACCCTTGTCTTTTTCTAAATTGACCAAATCATCCCTAAATGTTGAGGAAATGACCAGACTACCCCTATTGACATGCAGCTAGTTTGGAAAATTTATCAAGGAAAATGTTTTGATGGGGTAGTAGTAGTTTTCAAAATAAGTAAAGCCTCCGTTCAAAATTCGTTAAAAACTATTGAACAACATTCAAATCAATCATATTGTTGGTCTTGATTATGTGGTTGTGAAAAAAGAATTAGGATTTTAAGTTTTTAAAAATATTATATGTCGTACCACATTATCTAAATTGTCCATTTCATATTAATAAATAAGTATCAACATATCTACAATATTTATTTATTTTTAAGGTTTAAACTTCAATCAATACTATAAATTGAATTTTGAAATCATGGAGATTTGCAACGTCCGAAGTATTTTGTAAACAAAAATTCGATGTGTGGAGGGAGGAATGCTATTTAACCTCGTATATATTGTGCACATAGAAAAATGTTATTTACTCTATGTGCTCAAGTAGCGTTTCATATACTCACAACTCCTAAAGAATAAGAGGGAGAGTCTTGTGAATGGAAGATGGGAACTTTCCCCTTTACACTTAGAGCTTTGAATGAGTCATATAGTAGGGATATATACATGAAATTTTTTCATACTATTTGTTTTTATGTTCATGCTACTTTTATTTCTTAACAAGTTATAACTACATTTTGTACTCATTTCTTGTGTCAACCAAAACGATTGGGTACTCACTCAAATGCCCTCAATAAATTAGGAGGAAAGAAAAAGAAATACTCACATAGGATGACTCTATAACAGAGAGAAAAAACTTTCACAAAATTTAGAAAGAAAAAAACCAACAACTAAAAAAAAAATTTTATATAAGATGTCAATCTTATACTATTGAAGCAATGCACTTTAAAATCCCCGAAAAAAGTGTATTTCGATGCTGAAAAACACTCTATTTTGATCATCTCGACCTCGAGATATATATATATATATATATATATGAAGTAAAAAAGATTTTTTCAGCCTAAAAATAATGTATATTCGAACAAGTTATCTACATTGTTTATTTTTAACTGTTTCAAATGCTTATAGATTGAATTATTTTTAAAATTTTAAACATTATAATAAGGGTTGAAAATAAATTTTCAAACCGTCATATAGGATTTTGGACACCAGTACTGTATTCTTAGGCAAAATTTAGTTGAGGAAGATTGATACTGTACATCAGTGCAAATTAACGAGCTCCGAGGGTGTTTCAGTCATTTTTCCGGAGCAAACAGAGGATAAGCTGTGGGTCGATATCGAGAATTAAGCACTTGGCAGGGTTATTATAGGAATCAATTTTAAAAACTTAATGTGAAGTGGCAGTCCAGTCAAAGATCGATTTCTTTAAAAAAAGTAGTTGGAATGCAGTCAAAGGTGAGGATTATTATCGCTTTTGACCACTCATCCAACGTCCGATCCTCGCCAGGGGGGACATCGGACGGTCTTTATGGAATTTCTGTCCTCCTGTGGGCCCGGACCTATTCAGCCGCTCGCTCTGTAGTTCTTACGTAGGATGATTCCACCACTCCTGTTTAGTAATCCACCCAAAAAAAACACTTTTTTTATTTTTATTTTTGTAAAAAAACAAAAGGAAAATTATTTCACTCGGACTATACCATATTTCTACATTATGCGGTCTCAAGGATAAAGCATCCAACTTTTAAAATGGATACAAATAGGTGTTTTATTTAAAAATAATTAAAACTAACTGTCGAAATATTTTTTAATAGAATTATTATTTTTAGTTTTCAATTATTATTATTTTTTTTCCATATTCATGATCTCTATATTAGATATTACATATCCTTAAAAATTACGTCCAAAAATCTATCTAAAAAATATATTTTTAAGAGGTGATTCATTTCTACATGGACTCATAAAAACCGTGTCTCCACCCTTTTTCAAAATCTGGAAATAGTTCTCTTGAGACCATGTTTCAAAACTCAGAATTGGGTCGGATATGCGATATGAATAGGCTGAATTAGTTAAGAAAAATTGACATTAGTATCGGGGGAGAAGACCCAAATCACCTATAAAAGTTGATGAATCATGTTTTAAGACACATGGTTTTTTTATGTTGTTTAAAGGGTGCGGTTTGTATAATGTTGAAGCTCTAAACAATCAAAGTAAAGCACACGTTCAAATAATATCGAGAAATATGGTTTCAATACTGAAAATCTTTCTAATAACTTTAAAAAAAATATTTTTCTAGTTATAAAATTTAAAGCTTAAAAAATAGTGCAAATCGAGCAGGCCTATAAAAACTTGAAAATCTTGAAAATTGACAATCCAAAAATGTATTATAAGATGTACTATTTTCAAAACTTGAAATCTATTTTTTTTTTCATGTACATATTTATTGAGGTCGAAATGATCAATCTGAGGACATTTGGGCATCAAAACAAACATCTTCTAATAAAATTTTTTGAGGTGCTCCTTAATTTGATTATTTGGAACCTCACACTTATATAAACTTTTTCCTTGTGTCATACTAGTTTGGACTGGCTAATTCAGTGAAAATTGGTTTAAAAGAAATAGTATCTAATGATTTTGGTGAGGAAATGCTTCAAATAGATGTGGATCGTCCACCTATCGAATTCGAACTCGTTTGGCAATTCCTAAGCTAAATTTGGTCAGTTTTAAAAACCCTAGATAGAATAAAAACAAAATATCGAAAGGAAAAGTGTTTGATGTGGGTAAGACTGCATTTCTACAATATGCAGTCCCAAGGTATAAGGCATCCATTTTAAAGATGGATGCAAATAAGTGCCCCATCTAAAAATAAATTAAACTAATGGTCCAAATGTTTTCTTAATAGAATTATTATTTTTAATTTTTAAAATTTATTTATTTATTATGTTTATGATTTCCATGTTAGAGATTACATATCTTTAAAAATTAAATCTAAAAATCCATCTCAAAAATAAATTTTTAAGAGGTGACTCGTTTCTATATAAACTCAAAAAAATGGTGTCCTTGTCAAAATACAATTAAAGGACTAAATCACCACATGGACTCATAGAAATCGTGTCCTTACCAAAATACAATTAAAGGATTAATTATTTAACATTTCACCCGTTTTTAACCGTTCCAAATATCATATCAATGTTTTTTGACAGGTCTTTTCAAATTGAAGCAATAAAAGAATAAATGTAAAATATTTCGTCTCTTTTCCCTTTAAAAATTTGGGTGGATTATTCAAAAACTACAGTGGCAAAAGCTATGCTTCTTTATTACTTTTACATTTGCCTGTTTTTTCACCGAGGAATTTAAAAGGATCTCGCGAGAAGCGTTTGTCAATCATTGAGTAATCATTTCAGCACGTATTATACATCCAAACATACGTACGGTTATCGTATATGGTGTATTTTTATATTAATTTGCATTTTTTGGTTATTAAAATGCTGGTTCTATTCTATATTTTTATGATGAAGTAGATTGCTCGGCTCGATCAGTTGGACTGCTGGCCGGTGCCTTCGTTGAAAAATTGAGTTCAATGAAATCGTAGACGTTTATAATAAGAACTAGGTTCAATGAAAAACCAGTCAAAATTAATATTTTATGAGTTTATCCGATCAATTAGGTTAGTTTTGATAAGTTAGACTCCATAGACAAAGTTTTGGGATTATATTTTATGTATAGAAAAAGTTTATATAGAGTCAAGGCTCTAAACAATCAAATTAGAGCCCACCTCAAAAATTTCACTAGAAGCAGTTGTTTTTTAAGCCCAAATATCATCAAATTAAGATACATGAATATGAGAAAAAAAATGGATTTCAAGATTTGGAAATAGTGCATAGTGTAATACATTTTTGGATCGTCAATTTTCAAGATTTTCAAGTTTTTGTAAATCTGCTCGATCCACATTTTTTTAAGCTTCAAATTTTACAATTAATTACTAAAATATATTTTTAAGGCTGTCATAAAGATTTTCAGTATTGAAACCATATTTCTCGACACTATTTGAAAGTGTGCTCTTTTTTTTATTGTTTAGAGCCTCTATACAAACCACACCTTTTATGCATTGTTATGGGAATAGGTTTTTTTGTCTCTTATTATTATTCGTGTTCTTAGGTTTTTTTGTCTCTTATTATTATTCGTGTTCTTCTTTCCTTTTATAGGCCCAATTGGTTTAACTTGGGGTTAAACCAATTGATTAGACTGGATCCCCCATTAGTTAAGTGGCCAGCTCAATCCTGATAAAATTGTTTTGTATCTCCTTCCATATTAGGCGCATTTTATTCTTAAGAAATTTAAATAATAAAAACTTGGGAGAAACGATTCCTAACTTTGAGATCACCAATCTTCGATTCCGAAAAAGGATTCATGGAAATTGTTGCACATGTTTGGGGATGCAAATGTTTACTAGGCGAATTTCCTAGTCATAGCATTCATAGAAATTGTGTTATTTTAATAATCATTCTGACGAATAGAGAAAAAGTTATTTGGAGATCATGAATATGAATAAATAGATAAATTTAAAAATAATAATTTTATAAAAAAAACATTTGGATTGTTAGTTTCAATTATTTTTAGATTAACCACCTATTTGCATCCATCTTTGAGATTGATTCTTTGTACCTTGAGCACTGCATAAGTAGAAATGCGATTCTCGTCGTATGAAACAATTTTTCTTAATTTTGAGTAATAAATGAGTTAAATGAAAATTTTGAATAAAAGAATCGCCCGTTTACATAAACATGGCGCCGAAATTTGAGAAAATGGAATGCGATTTAAGCATTGTTCTCGTGTTGTGAAATTTATTGCATTATTCATTGAATTTGGGGGTTGGTTCAAATTCAAACTTTGAATACAAGCCGACATT